CACACGCGCACACGCACGCACGCACGCACACACGCACACACGCACACACGCACACACGCACACGCACACACGTACACACGCACACACACATGCACACACGCACACGCACGCGCACACGCGCACACACGCGCACACGCACACGCACACACGCACACACGCACGCACGCACACACGCGCACACGCACGCACACGCACACACGCACAAAGGCACACACGCACACACGCGCACACGCGCACATGCACACACGCACATCCGCATCCGCGGCCCCGCGGGCCTTGGCCCCAGGGTCGCGCCTCCGCGGACACGACGGGGCCTCTCCTCGCGGATGCCCCGCACGGAACGTACAGTCGAGCATCTGATCAAGAACCCTCCTCCCGAAAGGCTGGGCCAGCGTTTTTGCCCGACCTGCCGCAGGGCTGACCCCGCTTCTTGAGCCCGTTTGCACTTACACCTTTTTGTTCTTAAAAAGGTAGGCTTTCTGAGAGGATCTGTTCTTGGTTATATGTATTCGGCTGTAGCTGTTCTTGGAAACGTGAGACTCGAGTGCGCGGGGGCTCGGGTTTGCCGTCCCGAATCTTGCCTGCCCAGTGCCCCTGGGAGGTCTGCAGCGGGCGCCCGCGCCGAACGTCAGACGGGGCCGCTCCGTTCTCACGATTGGCCCCGCCGGGCCTCGGCCCGAGCCCCCCCGAAAACCCGAGCCCCACGCCTCCTCCCCGATCTGTGCGACCGCGTGCCCGCGGCGGCGCGCCCCGGAGCCCAGACCGCGAGGGCGAGGACGCGGCCGCGCCCGCCGCCCCCCCGCGAGGCGGGGCGCGGCGGCGGCCGCGAGGGCGGCGGCCGCGAGGGCGGCAGCCCCGCCGCCGCGGAGGGCCCGGGGGAGGCCCCCCCCCCGCCTCGGCGGCCTGCCGCGCCGCTGCTTCGCTGCTCCGCCGCCGCCGCCGCTCTTCGCCGCCGCTCCTCGCGGCCCTCCTCCGACGGGTGCGGCGCGGCGCCTGCCTGCGTCTTTCCCTCCTCGTCCCCCCGCCGCCCGGGCAGCGCCGCCTGCCCGGGACCGGCGTGGCGGCGAGAAGGGCGAGGAAGAGGAGGAGGAGGAGGAGGAGGAGGAGGAGGAGGAGGAGGAGGAGGAGGAGGAGGAGGAGGAGGAGGAGGAGGAGGAGGGGAGGAGGAGGAGGAGGAGGAGGAGGAGGAGGAGGAGGAGGAGGAGCAGGGCCTCGGCCCACTCCTGGCGGGCCCCGCGTCGTCGGCTCGCCTGGCAGGCTTCGAGGCGGGCCTCGGGCCAGCGTGCGGAAGCGGGTCCTGCCGGTGGGCTCCTCGCAGGCCCTGCGTTGGCGCAGGCGACCTGGCGCACTCTGCTCCCGGGCTCGTCGATGCGGTGTCTGCTCACGTCATCGGGGGCGGCCAGGAGGGTCGGCGGCGAGCAAAGGGGGGGGGGGGACTGATAAGGAGGAGAGCCTCTCAGAGGGCGGCTCCTCTGAAGCCCTGGCGCGCCTTCCGAGATGCTTTTCTGTGCCTTCGGGGGAGGCTCGGAGAGCTTCTCAGGAGTCTGGGGGACTTCCGAGCCTTCTGAGAAGGTCCGCTCCTTCTCATGTCCCCCCCTCGCTCGCCGCCGACCAATCATCGGGGGGGGGGGCCAAGAAGGGGTGATGACTAGGGGGAGTCGGATCTCATGGCTGGGGCCATGATATCTCCCCCCAGTTTTCTTGGCGCCACTTCTTAGTCCAATGCGTCCCCTGCCCCCTCCCCTCCTGTGGGCCGCGCACATGCCTCGGGCCAGGATTTGCGCCCCCACCTCTCGGGCGCCCGTCTCTTGGCCGCCCCGGAGAAGAACACAGCACAGTCTGATGGCCCACGT